CTAGGCTGATTTGTTCCAAACTCTGTAAAATACCTACAACAAATTCAAGCAACAATAATCATCTCTCAAAAGCAAAACCACGCAAATCATAGAAATCCTGCATTTTCCGTCCGTAGGTTTCTCATCAACCAAACAGTACGCAAAAAGTAAATGTTATGTGCTATTACTTGCGATCTACGGAAATTCAATCCGTTATGTTGCAAAACCTGTGGTTAATATTTGAGAATTGAGGAAAGTTGTCATTACCAGAGGTAGATCTGAGATCTTCGGATCGGGAGGGTTGAAGATCTTGACGAAATTGTGAACAACGACGATCTGGATCCCGGCTCGAACCTTAAAGAAATATTTCGTTCCGTAAAAAACAAGCCAAATTCCCTGATGATTCGATGAAGAAAACTAAAATCACGTCATGAGGAGGGAAGACATCGGCATAAGCATAGTCGTTAATCGGCGAAGAACTTCATCGAGGGTTTGCAGAGATCGTAGATTTCTTTTGCGTCGCAGAGAAGCGTGACGAGGAAGACACGAGGGAATTGGAGCCAGAAAGGTTCTATTAAATCATCAAAGTGGGGATCAGGCTCAATGGGCTTGACAGCCTGACTTATATTCTAGTAAGGCCCAATAAATTCTTTTTAGCCCATGAAGGCATGAAGCCCTTTCAATTTCCCAACTCCAAGTTTGAAAGCCTGGCTTATGTTCTAGGAAGGCCCAATAAATTCTCTTTTGTTAGTCGATGTTATTTGTTTGATGAGAAAAATAAAAATTAGAAAATCTTGATTTTTAAATATTAATAATATTTGTAAAATTATTTAAATATTTTTAATAATTTTTTTAAATATTGATTCATTAATGATATATAAATTTTTTTATTATCATTTCTATCATTTTAAAAATTTCTTATTTAATTGCAATACAAAGAGAGGATTTTAAAATCAATATTAAAAAGAGAAAACTTCTTTTATTAGTGATATAATATGTTGTATTGTATTATAATAATAAGTTTTTTAATTTTTTATTATCTTAAAAATAAATAAAATATTAATTAAAAATAAAAATTTTATATTTTGAAATAAAATACTATATAAAAATTATTTGTAAAAAGTACTTATAAATGAGCCCCCTCAGCTATAGAACCCAAGTTGGGAGAAGTTGGAGTGCCTATATCAAGTGCAAAGCATAGCGAGTTTTAGAAGTTAGAACTCTTATATGTTTTTTCAAATTTAATTGACTAATTTATTTCAATTAATAATCATATTGTCTATGAATTAACTTGAAAAGTTTCTATTCAAAATTTTTTGTTTAAATATACAAAATTGAGCTATTCATCAGATAAACCGCTCATTTTTCAAAACCTTTCTCAGTCACAAAGGTAAATTTAAGTTTTCTAACAGAAAAACTTAATTCCTAAGAAATGATAGAAAATAACACAAAAGATTAGAATTAGATTATATACCCTGAAAATCTGCACCCAAGCTTCTGACCCAAGTGGTTTGATGGGTGCATGCTCAAGTACATGACCTGAGTCCAAATCCCCTCCCTACTCTGGTAAAAAAAATATACACTGGAAATCATAGATGCCCTCTACCGCTATATACTAGCACAATTTGTTCTTTTGAGTGCTGAATTCTGCCCGGTCTTCGAATATATGATAAGAAATAGCACCATGCAGGAACTACAACCTACCATCTTAGTTCACCGGGCTTCTTCAATGGTTTCAAGTGAAAAGCATTTTCAGCTCCTCTATACGTGCTGACCGAACCTCTTGATCAGTCAAGGCACCTGCAATCATTCTCTGTTTACGTGCTTGCACAGCTTCCATTCTTTCTTCCACGGATCCCTGTTATCTCATCCATCAAAAGGAAAAAGGATTAGAATCACATTATACTCCACTCTTTTGGCCTCTAGCATGTAAAAATGGATGTCTGGATGATAATAAGCAACAGCAGCATGGGTTTACATGGATTAAACGTATACCTTCACAATGAAACGTTTAATGGTCACGCTTTTAGTCTGCCCAATACGATGAATGCGCATAACAGCTTGTTCTTCTACAGCCGGATTCCACCATGGGTCCTGGATCAAACACAAATCGACAATTCAGCCAGCAATTTACCATTAATTTTGTCAAAAAGTGAAGATGCCCAGATGGTTAACGATGTACTAATGAGTAACTGTATTATGAAAAAGTATCTCTCCAGCATTTTAATACAAAACTGAAGTTTGTGCATACCAAGACAAAAGCATTGGAAGCTGCTGTTAGATTTACTCCAACTCCACCTGCCTTAAGTGACATCAACAATACCTGATAAACAACCAAAGCTAAAATTATCAAACCCAAGAAACTCAAAAGTGAAACCAAACTTCGACCTAGAATAAGAAAGTCACAAACCAGGATGTTGCTATCTTCTGAAAACTGTTTTATTACTCTCTCACGCTGCTTTTGACTTAAAGTCCCATCAAGACGGAGAAATGGAATATTATTCCTAGACATTGAATTAGAATTATGTTGATCATGAAAACATATCTAAAAGCTAATAATTGCAATAAGGTCTAACACCATTGCATTTTGTAGAGAGATTTTAACAAGATGTCTACACCATTTGCCAACAGTGGAAATTCATGATGAGCACGAGGCTGCGCAACCAATCATGAGGCAAAGCACCCTCATATTCAAAATATTTAAGCCAGTTAGAAATGTTTACCGACAAAGAGGAATCTGCAAGAGGTCCAAAAACGCAGTCCACTGGCTGTAGAGGATGCTCTTAGAGCCTGATGAGCGAAGTTTTTCAAGTTCTTGCATTAGAATAGTAACTTTGCAAGATTCCACCCAATTTTTATGAATATCAACCCGAAATCGACTCCCAGTTGGAGCTGTAATAAGATCTTGCTTACTGATAGTTTTCCTGTAAAAGTTGAAAATATAATATTAGTAGAGCATTAGAGTCACTCATCATAAACCTAACCCTATACATGGAAGTCCCTTTTTTTTTTTGAAAAAAAAAAAAAGGACTAAAGCCATTGCTTGATACATTTAGGAGGTTAACAGAAAGTGAGGGAGTCGAAATTGTGTCAGTTCTCAAAAAACCACAAGATACCTATTTTGTTAATAAAATTCCAGGATACCTACCTGCAAACAGGACATAAACCAGAAGTTGCATTTCGCCAAGTTGACAATAGGCACTCTCTGCATAGGCAGTGAGCACATGGTGTAAATACAGCATCTTCAAGTGCTTCAAGACATATTGGACACTCTCCTTGTTCCCCCTTGCTCAGTCCTTCAACAACCTGTTGAACATATGCCCTTGAAGGAGCATCATTGGTTTCCTCTTCATTGCCATCCTGCCTGCCCTTAAGGAATCGTCTAGCCAGCTTATTGAGATCAGAGTACTCTTGGGTATCACCTCGACTGGATACAGCAATATCACCCAGCCAATCAGATAAATAAGTTCAAGTTAAGAATGATGTTGAATTCATCGCAATTATTGACTCATTATTACAGAGAAAATAGTCAGGACTCATTTAGATATTTTTTTCAAACCACTACAGCTACCATCACTGCCATCTTATCATTATCACTGCTACAAAAGGCAAAAGCTACTAACGCAAAATCATAATCAAAAGCCACCATCACTGTCATCTCATCATTAATTAGCAGAGAAAAAGAGTGAGGTGCAGACCTCAATACAAGAAACGGATGATCACAACATTGACGAAGACGGAGAAGTAACTCCAATATATTAGCATAATTATGAAGAACCCGTCCTTGCTCAACAAATTTATCAAACTTCACCTGAAAAGATACCCACAAAAATGTTACATTAAGAGGCATTGCAAATATACGTTAAATAAAAAAAGAAGCATGATAATTCAAAATCACACCTTAGATTTTTTAAACAATGCCTCATAGAAGTCTTTTTCAGCTTCACTAAGCTCACAGTAAATCACCTTAGTATCAACTGGAGGAAGAACTAGAATTGGCCTGAAACAATAAAGAAAATTAGGAAGGGATTTATAAAAAGGTCAAATGGGACTTGTCCCATGCTCCTTAGCAAGGATACTGACCTGCCTCCTCGATCTGTGCTAGACTTCGTCCTCCTTAGCATAATTGGCTTTAAGATGGACTGAACCACCCTTAGCCCTCTCTCATCACCTCCCTCAAATGGCTTTTGGATGAGTTTATACCACCTATATCATATAAGTAAAATTATGCAACAGTTATAGGTCATGCTACATCAGCCCTATTAATGAACTTATTAAATTATTTTGAGGGAAAGAAGTGCTTGCTTAATGATTTCGGACTAGTTGATCAAACATGAGTGCAAGATATCCAAAATTTGGGTAATCTGCTGTAAGCTAGACTACAAGGTGCAAAAATGAAATGCCTGTAATTACTATTATACATCTTGAAGGCTGCAACAGAGAAGAGTTTCAATTAGTCTTACAGAACTAATGTTCCAGTTTACAAATTGATAAGAGCCTGAACCATATGAATTCTTGATTTCTCTTCCTAAAACACTTTCACCTGTGTGTGAAAGTTCTACCATCCTGTTCATAATCTGGAAGAACCATTCAAACCAATAAAATAGTTTCTCTAGACCTTGGAAGAGATGCTTAAGTACTAGCATATTGTATATGTTCCATAAAAGAGATTGTAAAAACTTACCATGCCCAATTTCCCCAAGGTTCTACCCTTAAAAACCGGAGAAGACTGTATATGTCTTCCAGATTGTTCTGCAACAGTAGATTACAAGACAAGGAGCATGTAAATATCAAAATAAATAAGGCAAGGAGCATTCAAGCATGTCAAAGTCCTAGTTAGCATACATCCATTCAGACCAAAAACAACTTTTCAATGCAGAGCTCCAGTGAAAAACAGATTATAAGCATGGATATGAAACCTGGAAGCATTATCACAGACGATAAGTATCCATATACCTTGTTCAACATGTATCAGAAATAAACATTGGTAAATAGCACAAGAAAGCAACTCTCTGAGGTATCCTTATGGTCAAAGAAAAAAAACAACTTAAACAAGAAAGAGAAAGCTCGGGTTCTAGGATGGGAAACTAAATGCACATATTTCATAATTAGCCTATCATAATGCAGTTAGCTAAATATCCAGCCCCTAAACTTGAAAAGATCAATAGAGTCCAGCACATAAGCATTTCATGGTACTTGAGAGAATCATGTCAATAACTATGTCAAAGTGTGTGACAGGTAAGGCAGCATTTTGTGGCCTACTTGTCACTCATCACTTAACATTTAGTCAACCAAAATGAAGACTGCAGTGTAAGATCTTATAAAGTTTAATTGCATGCATATTCAGAAGGTTCCTCCTACTTTTTGATGCAGAACAAAAGAGGATGAGACCAAGATTGGTTCAAAACATTGATTAAATCATCCAGCAAAAAGAATACCAATGAATCAGTTTGAAAATAAAAAATAAAAAAATAAATTACCTGGATAGGAGTTCCAGTCAGACACCAGCGACGATCAGCAACCAAAGCAGTAGCAGCCCTGGAAAGTTGACTTCTAGAGGACTTTATAGTATGTGCCTCATCAAGAACAACCCTCAACCACCGAATCGAATAAAGTCCTGAATTACCTTCAGAATTCTAAATAATGGAAACATAAAACAAAAGGGGTGCGTCAACTTCTTCATCCAAAACATATGCAAATATCTTATGCTCAGAACACCTGCATAACACAGAAACAAGACTTCTAGGCTACCTCAGCTGAAAATTCTGAAGCAAGCACTCCATATGTGGTGATTACAACATCATACTGAGTAAGATTCTGGGCATCCTTAAGTCTACCTTGACCATAATGAACACATAAGGACAAAGACTCAGATTGCGCATGAGTTTCTATCTCGTCCTGGAAATAATCAATGTCCAAACCCACAATCACAATCAATTAACAATTAACAAAGAAGCACATCATAAGAAGATACGAAATAGATGCTAATTGGAGTGCCAACTTTCAAAGATGTTGATACCATATGCAATCAAAGTCAAAAGGAGAATGCATGTAAAAACTGAAAAACAAACCTTCCACTGGCCAAGAAGAGTCATGGGACATATAATCAGATTGCCGCCATTCACAAGCTCATTTTTTGGATTCAAAATCTTATCATGGTCTGAAATTTTTGTTCTTTCCAGGATGCTAGGTGATTGATCTGAAACACCACTGGTTTCATTTCCATTGGAAGGTTGCTGCATAGATTGACTATTTGATAGCCCACCTCTCTTTGATTGAGTAAGTAGAAGAGCTATTGTCATAACTGTCTTTCCAAGCCCCATTGCATCCGCCAGAATCTTCAAAACCATAATATAGTCAATACACTGAAAAAAAGAAACCTAAAAAGCGTGCAAATTAATCATAATTTAGAGCTGAACTGGAATAGACATACCCCTCCTCTGGCCAATTGCAGTGTGCTTGGGAATTCTATTGAGGCATCACCACTAAATGCATTCAAGTAGACAACAAGACCCCTCCTACAAATGAAGAAATACTTTTAAATATAAAAATTGCATAACAAGGGGAACCTTTGGGCTACAAGTTCATTTGACATACTCATCTGCTAGGTGATATGCCTCCCAACAAGGGTGAAGCGTTGGAGCTGCCTCATCCATGCAATGTCTCTTCTCCACCTGGAACATCCAGTGGAGAGCCTGCTTTTGATAAGGGCGCAACTCACACTGAAGGGTGCTAGGAGGATCCATTTCCTAGAACGCAAAATTTTTCGAGTGATTTCACCAATCATGCACACTGGGAAACTCAATACCAAGTACCATATGCTCGGAGAAGATTATACCTCTAATTCAGAGTTGTGTCCAACACCGACAATATTGTCGAGATCAGCATCTGAGATGGAATCCTCATTTCCACTTTGAGACTTCTTCAACTTGTTGACAGGTAACAATGAGGCAGGAAGAACAGAACCATCCTATTCAGGCATAATCATTCATTAACACTGCAAAGGAATTGTTCACATCAACTATAAACGTGTATTTTTCATACCTTTGACTCCAAGGGCCGTTTTCTTGTATACAAATCATTTGGAGTAAATTCTGCCTGATTTAGTAAAAATATGGGGTTAATTAGAATACTTGAATGGTAAAACCAACATATAATACTGTTAAATGGAATAACCAACTTCAATTTTTCCCTAGATAGATATACCCGTAGCATCCACTTAATTTAAAGTATCAAAGAGAAGTTAAGTCCAAGAAATCAATACCTTCTTAAAAGGAGTCAGGCCAAGCAACCGAAACAAACTAGGGAGAGGATGAACAGTCAATTCCTCTGTAGCAGCACTGGCTGCCTTGAGTGAGGCCTGATGTTGCTTATGAAACATGGAGCTATTTATGTAGACGCTGAATCAAAATAAATTTATGATTACCAGGGTTGTTTGTAGATTTCTAGAAGGTAAAAGGCAAAACAAGGAACAACCCCAAGGTCATACACAGCCACATACGGACTTAACATACTAAACACTCTAAGTTCCTGTAAATTAAACAGCTTCATATTTAATGGTAAGAGAATTGCTTCACGTTCTAATAGTAATACCTTATTGACAAATGAATGGTAGACATGATACCCAACACAGCAGGAGCAGACTTACACCATCCCTCAATCTTAACTTTATTATCCTTCACAAGGGGCAGCAAACATCGACCCCATTCATTAGGTATCCGACCAATCTGCAGAAAATCAAAGATTCAGAGCCCACAATTAACAGATCCAGCAAAATAATAAAATAGTCTTTAAAAACCTCAAAAGAAATTCATTGCATTAAATGTACCTCTCCTGAGTCTTTGGTTGAGAACCTCACAATCTCTGAAGAAGCCACTGCCATCTGCCTCCCCCTCCCAAAACCCTTGTTTGCCAGAGATGCTTTACTCAATCCAGCAGCACTGTTCAACGGAAACGTGAAAATAACTTCATCACCAGCTTGCACCTTCCTCCCTTTACAAGTAGAGAACCCAGCCACATCACAGCATTCCACAAGCCACCATTCACCTCCAAGCCTAGATTTCCTTGCAATTTTGACCGGACGAGTTCTGCTGGTAACCTCATTGCTACCAATAATGCAACAATCATCCTCCACTTTCTCAATCTTCATCGGTTTACAGATAAAACTACAATCATCCTCTACTTTCTCAGTCTTTATCGGTTTAGAAATCGGTTTATGAACAAAACTACAATCATCCTCCACTTTCTCAGCCTTTATCGGTTTAGAAATCGATTTATAAACAAAACTACAATCATCCTCCACTTTCTCAGCCTTTATCGGTTTAGAAATCGATTTATAAACAAAACTACAATCATCCTCCACTTTCTCAGTCTTCATTGATTTCCGGATAAAACTACAATCATCCTCCTCCATTTTCTCTGCCTTTATCAGTCTTTCAGGAGGAGACGTGCTAATATATTTACTGCCACTAGCAAATCTAGCAGGGGAAATATATTTACCGTAGTCGCCAATACCACCGTCATCCTCCACTTGCTCTGTCTTTATCCGTCTGTCAGAACTCGATACCATATTAGAACTTGGTTTCGGAGAATTTGAGTCGAGCCTTTCCTCCTTGGGCTTCAAAGGAGGGGGAGAGTCCAAGATTATGTTGATGGCGGCGGTGGCGTCGTATTTGGCCATGTGCAGGGCTCTGACGACCTCCATTTCAGAGCGATCCCACCCGACGATTGATCGGACGGTGGATACGAGCTCATTCTTGAGCTTGTTCGCCATCGGATCACTTGCTCACCAGAAAACCCTAACCCAATTTCTTTGCTCTTGAGAAGTAAAAACGGACGGTGAAAAGGTGAGGGAATTGCAGAGAGAAGGGGAGGATTTCAGAATATTTTGGGCAAAATGCGCGGCGATGCCTTTTATTGGGGAAGGAAAATGGCGGGACGGTTTTAGAGATGGCGGGGGCGGGAGCGAAATTAAGGAGTTTTTTAATTAAGCCATTAAAAATGGAACTGTAAATGGGAATTTAGCACATCACCCTTTTCCCGCCATTTTTTTTGTTTGGTTCTTTTTTTTTTTAAGGATCTTTATTTACTTTTGTGAATATCTGTAATTTTGGTTGTTTTCACAGTTTCTTTTTTTCACACAACATATTACTCCTAATAAAAATGTTAATTTTTTTCTAATAAAATTAATTTTAATTAATATTTTGTAATTTTTGTCATTATTTTAAGGTTAAACCCCTATTTTGGTCCCTCAACTATTGTACGGACCCCGACTTAATCCCTCAACTCAAAAAATCCTTGATTTGGTCCCTACTGTTTACCATTTTTACCCCAATTTAGTCCCTCCGTTAAAAATCCAATGACGTGTCCTGTTAATTAACTGAAGCATGATGATGTGTCAAAATAGAATGACACCTCATATGCACACCTGTAAAAAAAAAATGACATAGCAGTATGATTTGGATCCAAAATAAAAAAAAAAGGAGTGAGCCCCACCTCCTGCAAATCTTGAACTCTTCTCCCTCGTTCTTCCCATTCCCAGTTCCCAGTTGCTCATCTTGCCTAGCCTGCTTCATCAATCAATTCCTTCATCATCATAAAACAACAAACAAGATCCACACAAAAAAAAAAAATTTCTCTTTTTTTTTACTTCTTGCTCTTGGGTTCAAACGAACCCAGGAAGACGCCTGGCTTCCTGGGTTCGAACGAACCCAAGAGGACGCTTGGAATGAACCCAGGCGGCGTCCTAGATTCGTTTGAACCCAGGAAGACGCCTGGGTTCCACGCCTGGGCTCGAACGAACCCAGGCGGCGTCCTGGATTCGTTCGAACCCAGGCGGCGTCCTAGGTTCGAAAGAACCCAGTAAGAGTTGGGTTCCAAGGGGTAAAGAAAAGGAAAGAGAAGAAAGAAAGAAAAAAAAAAATTTAATTTTTTTTTTTGACATTATTTTTTTTTCATGTCATCACTTTTTTTTCATACATGGATCTGATGTGACACGTTATTTTGACATATCATCATGTTTCAGTTAATTAATAAGACACATCATTGGATTTTTAACGGAGGGACTAAATTGGGGTAAAAATGGTAAATAGTAAAGATCAAATCAATGATTTTTTTAGTTGAGGGACTAAATCGGGAGTCCGTACAATAATTAAGGGACCAAAATGGGGGTTTAACCTTATTTTAAA